CCCTGGAAACCTGATTAATATTTACACACTTGAAGAATTAAATTGAGTTATTCCCATTCTTCTAGCACTGCCTGTATGCATGTAGGAACATGGAAAAATTGCCATGTGGTTAAGATTCTCCTATGAATGAAGCACAAAATGAATAATTGTATACCCTTGGTGATTAAGGGAGAACTATAGATTTCCATACTGAATTTAATTTTATGTTTATATTTCAATGCATTTTTCCCCCCAAAACCTAAAATGAGTGTAAGAATCTATCTTTTGATGATTTGTAAAATGTACATTTCATCTGTTGTCTTTCTGGGGTCCTTGCCTCTGCTTTTTCTTCAGACTGTGTTGTGTTCAATATTTTAATCATTGGAAACCTGGTTTATTTATTTATTTATTTATTTATTTATTTATTTATTTATTTTTAAAGATTTCACTGGTAAGTTTGGGGACGGGAACAGTGTCGGGGAACTGGGGAAGGGGACCAGCCAAGCTGCTGTTCCCCAATCTCCGGTGTGGAGGATGCCAGTTGTCATCTGGCTTCCCATCGGCAGCTCACGGCCTCTAAGCTCAAGGTGCTGTACTCAATCCTAGCCACGGGTGGGCGTAGCCCACCATCGAACAGGCAATCCTGTTGTTACACCAGCTGAGCCATCCTGCCACCTGCTGGCAGCTCAGCAACAGCTCAGCTCGAGCGCAGAGTCACTGGCCCATGTGGGAATTGAACCAGTGGCCCCGCTGCTCAAAGCCTGCACTCTTAAGCCAACTCTTAACCAACTGAGCCACTCGGCCAGCCCAGAAACCTGGTTTATTAATCAGATGTACTACACAGAAAAAGTGGCATGAGTACATAAAAATAAAAAGCACAAACTAAATTTTTGATAGGGTAATCTGAAAATACAAAATTTGAAATGAAATGTTTAATTAATAGGGGTTTTTTCTTAATCTTTTAGAAAGAGAGAACCTGCTTGCATTATGCTGTGAAGAAAAAATTTACCTTCTTTGACTATTTACTTATTATCCTCCTAATGCCTGTCCTGCTTATTGGGTACTTCCTCATGGTGAGTACAACACTTGTGACAGCAAAGGGTCAATGAGTGGGCGATCAGGAACATGACTCATCAAATTTTGCTGGGCCACAGAAATGTAGAGAAATAATAAGAAAACAAGCTCTTGGTTTGTATTCTATAAATGACATTTCCAACACATGCAATGCTAAGATTGGAGAAAAAAGTAGCTAAATAAATTAATCAATGGTAAAATAATCTGTGCTATCTTTATTTAGAAAAATACATTAATCTTGTTTAAGAGTGATCTTCAGGAAGCACAAAAATCCTGAATACTAAAAATAAATAAATAAATAAATTCTTCTTACTGTTTTTTTCATAAGAGATTATATGTCTTTGTACATATTTTTTTGAGTTTCTGATTATTAAGGATCCATCCTGACTGTGATTTAAAAGGCAGAGTCCAAGAGATTTGCAGCCAGCAGCTGACAAACACAGGTCTTGATAGAGAATTTGAAGCCCATCTTTCATCTTGATGAATTTATTCATGCTTGAATGAATCCTTGGCATGCAGTGATTTTCTTGAATAAAGAAAAACTACAGTGGGTATAGGAATGCAGTCATGTTATGAGTACAAGATAAAGCTTGAGTTTGGTTTTTTGTTTTGTTTTGTTTTTCAAATAGAATGACAGATTTGCCCTGACTCAGTTTTCCATCTGGTTCTCCTTGTGGCCAGTTCCATTTTTGAGAGATGACTCAACAGATGTGTAATTTACTCCAGTTAAATGACTGATCTCTTTTCTCTTTGTAGCTAACAGAAATGTTACAGGATTTGAGGAACTACAACTAAATATAATAATGTTGATTTTGATGCTAGAATTTATGGGAGAAAACTGTAATTCACTGATAAACACATAATCTGCTTATATCCTTAAACAGTTCTTGAAAACTTGTGTACTTAGTACACATAATTTGAATATTTGTAGTTTTGGGTCTGGGGGAATCTTGTTGATTTGCAAATCTTTTTAGAGATTATAAAGAAACTATCACAACTATGATTAGCAAGGCTCATTCAGAATTTGTTGACACACAACCCGGCTTTATAAGACAATCTAATGTTTAAAAGCTGAAGGCCTAGGCAAAATTGCTAATTGTAATGAATAGCCCAACTCTGATTGCACAAGTACCCTATGTATTAATGGGGTCTGAAATGCTTAATTTGTGATGCATAAGAGATAAGTGATAGGAGAAGAAATTATAGATAAAGGGACAAGGAAGGACTGTGTTACTTCAGAGAAGGGTAGGAGGAGAAAATCAGTTTAGAATTTGACACAGGATGGAAGCACAAAAAGAGAAGAAAACTGGATGGAGCTTCCTAGATGATAAAGGGGCTGAACTCCAGGATATGGCCACGTGAGCAAGGAGCGCTGTGCTCTCACAAGCAATGGGACATTGGGAGGGTAGGGGGATGCTCAACATGTCATGTGACCAGAATCTCAGGGGACTAGGCAGGAAAAGTGGATTTCTGAGGAACCTAGTTAATTTCATTCTTATGTTCAATCTTTCAACACAAACTTATTACAGACCCACTACAAGCCAGGCACTGTGCTGGGTGTTAGGGATACAGTGATGAACCCAACAGGTAGTCCTTGTCCTCATGAGAATTAGAAGGTAGTGAAGACTGAGTCATTAATCAAATCATGACAGAAACACATGCAAAATTACCAAGAAGTAGGTGGTGCAGAGAGGTGATCAGTGTTATGACAGCCCAGAAGAGAGGGATGCCACCTGGCCAGCTAGGTCAGGGAAAAGTCTCCTGGAGGAAGAGGGGTTTGGGCTGACATATTGAAGACTAATTTACCAGGTAAAGAAAGGAGGGAGAAGGCTTCTAGGCAGAAGGAATATTCAGCGCAACTATTCTACGATTCCAGGGAGCTTGGTGGGAATGAAAGACTCACTAAAGGCCAGTGTGGCTACAGTCAGGGGGTGTAGGGTGAGCCGACTAGGGCCCTCAGTGTGGGCCGAATGATGGGCCTTGCAGGCCAGGCTGAACAGTTTGCTTTGACCTCAGAGCAAGGGGCATCTCTGAAGGGTTTGGAGCTAGGAAGCGAGACAGGTCACTGGACTCCATCATTAATGGGATTTGATAGATCTGGGATGAGGCCCCATAATTTGCATTTGTACATTCCCAGGCGCTGATCCTGCTCTGAGAACCCTGGCTTTACCTCATTGACATTGGAGGGGGATGTGAAGGTGGGGGAAATTTTAAGAAAGGTGCATAGATACATAAAGGTATTGGGATTAAAACGAAGCCTATTGGTTAGAATAACCCAGACATAAGATGGAGAAAATGTTTGTAAATAAACCTCTCTTGTACTTGCTATTTGTAATAGGTATCAAAGACAAAGCAGAATGAGACTCTTGTCCGAATGCTACTTAATGCTGGTGTTGAAGTTAATGCTATAGACCGCGTAAGTTTTAATTTTTAGTCATTTTAAAATAATATTAAAAATGGTATTTGTAGGTAGTATACAAGTACTTGTCAACTATACAGTTGCTTGCATTATATTTCTAGACATTTTGTATTTATTTTTCTTTTCCAGTTCTCTTTTCAGTGCCAGCCAGGCAAACCTGAGGTTGTTTATATACTGCCACTATTTTATTCATAGGAATAAAATAAGTATTGAATATTGAACATTTAAAAATTAACTGTTCCACTATTGGTGAGAAATTAAGGAAGATGGAGTCTCTGATAACAAAATTCATCCTTGGTAATTAAGAAGCTAGCATCAGAATGCCTAAGTGTAAACCAAGGCTTGCCAGTTTTTACCTATGTGCGTTTTGGCAAGTTATAATTATTTGAGTCTCAGTTTTCTCTTCTGTAAAATGAAGAAATCGCTAACTTACAGGACTGATTCATGTAAAACACTTAGTGGGGTACTGGCACATAGTAAGTGCTCAATGAACGTTAGCATGTATTACTACAGCCAAGATCCCAACTCACTGCTAAGAGGACCCCATCTGTAAGCTAAACAAAGATAAGGACAAAGTTCAAAGAAAAATCCAAACGATGGTCAGAGCAGTGATAACAGCAGGGGTAGCATCAGCTAACTTCTTCCTGTTTATAAACATAAGATTTTGTTTTCACCTTTTACAACTGCACCCTTCAACTCATCTTCCTTTCTTACATGATTGTAAATGGGTTAAAAGTTTATTTGTTAGGAGTTTTATTTGATTATATTGATTGAATGTAATTTTGGAGCCTCAGTTCTTTACTGAAAAAAACAGGCCAGTCAAAATTTGATTCCAAAAAAACCAACATTCTGTTTGTGATCCTTAATTTATATTGTATACATTTGCATGCGTATTACCATTCTATGTTCTGTGATAGGGAAAATGCCCCCATCCCTGTTTCTATTAATTACTTACATTATTTTTGTTTGGGTTATACTGATATCATATATTTAAATGGAGGTAGCTCTGTGTGTGTGTGTGTGTGTGTGTGTGTGTGTGTGTGTCAGAGAGAGAGAGAGAGAGAGAGAGAGAGAGAGAGAGAGCAGTCACACAAGAGAATAAGTTTATAAAATATATGTTTTTCCTTTATTTCAAATAAGATTTTTGAATTAATTTGGATAGACTACTACTATGAATCATTATTTTCTTAAATAACTTTGAAATGCGTTAAGATGTCATTAAAAATTAAGTAAAAAGTAATTCAAAAGGTTTTAAACTTTGCTTATGAACAAAATTTCTCTAGGAGATACTTCTAGTTACCTATATCTTTCTCCATTTCTAGATAGAGAATTATATCCCTGTGGATGCTCAGACGCATGCACATATATGTATACACAGACATATGTTTTCCCCACCATTTTTCGAATACTATCTATGTATTAACATCCATTTTCTAACTTAAGTAAGGCAGTCGATTGTATTTTTAGGTAACTGAGACTGCCTTTTTCTCACATGGGAAATTTCAGAGCCAGATCTTCCCTTCATCATGCCATCACTTCATAAAAATGAATGATTGCACCATTATCTCCTACGATTTTAGAAGAGTTTCTGGGGAAAAGGGTCCAGAGTTAATTCTGTTAGTCTTAATAGTCAAAGGTATTATTTCTTCACTTATCAAAACCATGGTTGATTGACAGATTTTTGAAAGGCAAAATTTTGAACACAAACGCTTGAGGTATAAATTTCTTTGAACTGTAGTTAGTGTTTTAAATTAGTACCAACAAAGTAGATCAACTTTTTATAACATAGTATAAACTACAACAGATCAATTATGGGACTTCTATGTCGAACTGTGCTGACCTTGTAGGTGTGCTGTAACAATATGATCACTGGCCACCTTCTTCAGACTGTGGGGATTTTGATCAAGAATGATAGAGGCTGATATCTGCACAAAGGCCCATGTGGAGACTCTTTGAGGAAAACGATGGTAACATGATCAAGGTGGTGATGGCCCAGACAGAGAGAATTTTACAAATAAACCTTGGAATAAGTCAGCATCAGCTTTTAAACTACACTGCTCTTAGTTTGCAATTGAAAATGAGAAAGGAAGATATTAATGGCTTATAGGACATTAACAATATACTCACTGAGTCATAAAAGACTTCTTAAGTACAAGCAATACAGTTGCAGAGAGATGGTTCACAGAGTGGTTTGCTTAGCTGCACACCAGAGAATGTGAAGGGTGCTTGCTAAACAAGCCGCATTGATGAGCTGCAGTGTTGGTCCTCTGTGTTTCAGTATGGCTACACTGCGTTACACTACGCTTGCGAAATGAAAAACCAGACTCTTATCCCTCTGCTCCTGGAAGCCCATGCAGACCCCATGATAAGAAATAAGGTAAGAACCTGTGGACCATGGTCTGAGGTACCTCTGTCAGCATAATCTTCTAACTGTGGCCTTGTGTTAAAGTACGAGTAAATGTATTGTCCCTGATGTTGTTAATAGCAAAATCGTCCTTATGAAAGAATTAACGTATTACTGTTAGAACTAAATGATGTGTAAAGCCCTCGCCAAGCCTGAGAGTCAATCAGTCTAAACTGTTTATTGGACTGTTGGCATGGACATTAGACTCTAGTGGAGATAAGTAACTATGGTTTCTTGTTCTCCTCAGCATGGTGAGAGTTCCTTGGATATTGCACGGAGATTAAAATTTTCCCAGATTGAATTAATGCTCAGGAAAGCATCATAATCCTTGTGGCCTCAGATGGAGAAGTGGAAAAAGCTAAAGGACTGGATTCTGTCTCCATCTTAAACTACTGGTCTGTGGGCCAGTCAACCTGGAGGCCGCCATCTTATGGGGATAATAATGGTTGCCATGGGTAATATTTTCAAAGCGCTTTATATTTGTGTTTGCTCAATGGACTTCACCATGGCCATAATCCTTCTGGGGGAAACACCAAAGCTGTTGGGTTCTCCGCTTCATTCAGAAAATGTGATGCTTCAAATTCAGTCTCTCCTAAAGAAGATCAGTGTTATCTCAGATAGTGTTCTCCCTTCTCAGTTGTATTGCTCTTCTAAAGAGGCTGCCCTGTGAGTATCATGCTCCAGGAGACAGACTGTTCCTCTCAGGCCCCTTTAATTAGTAAGAGGAAGAACAGAAGTATGGACATTTGTACAGAATGGTGTGTGTATGTGTGTGGGTTTTAGAGATTCTTATGTAAATGTTCCTTTGGCAAAACAGCTTCAACAAAAATATTATCATTTGTCAGTGGTGGCAGTTTTACACCACAGAAATGGCAAATGCTAAACTCAAGATTTTTGTTTTTTCTTTCTGGAGAGCCAGTTTACCAGCATACTTCTAGACATTTTGGTATCAGCTTACAAATAAAAGCCATCTTGATTTTGAACAAGACTGTGTAACTGTCTGGATGTTTGTTCAAAAATATCTTTGATTATCTTGTGAATGCAAGGCTGATACTAAACTTCTTAGTTCTGTCTATTTTTATTGATAAAATTTAAAATATTGTCATTTATTTGGATAAAGTGTTCCTATACAAGAAAAAGAGCCATATGATGAGGTAGTATCTGGATTGCACTTCAAGATGAGAGATAGAATATCAAAATATCTGCCCAACTCCTTTGTCAATGAGACAGAGTGGAAATAAACATTTTTTTTTTAATGATTGAATTTTGCAAAGCAAGACTGAGTCATGAATATCTTTAGACAGACTAAGCCACACAATGTGTGATAACAAATGTGTCAAAGAATCAAAGATTTACCATCCCTGAACAGGACAAAGTTCTAATAGAAATCAAATCCAGAAACAATTACTGAGCTACGAGGATGTACAAGGCCATAAGGCATATATTGTGTGATGGAAGGAGCAGTTTGTAGATGTAGTTTCTGAAGCCCTTACATGTCTTAATAAATTGTTGAGGATTCATTCACACTGAATTGAGTGACCAGGTGACTCTGGGAGTTTAAATGAAACAATTAACTTCACACATCAGTATACCTTCGATATACACCAGTATGCCTTTAATTCAGAGGTTTTCAGAATTGTACTATTTGTTCCAGAGTTTTGCAAAATTGCACTATTTACTCATGTAATTTATGTCATCTTTGAAACTATGAAAATTGAACAATTTTTGAAAGAAATAAATCCAGATTTGTGAATGATTTGGGGTGACTAATAGCAACTTTGTCAAGATTAAAGGATAAAATACATAACAATTTGTTTTATTATGCTCATGACATTATAAAATTTTCTTCCTAGCTTTTAATTTTTGAAGGCAGAAAGCTGGGTCAGACATTAGGTCGTCCAGCAAGTCTCAAACAAGCTTGGACTAGAATCTAGGTACTGAATACACATATATGCCATATGCAGTGCGTAATGCATTCATTGGAAAACTCAAAAATCCTACAAAATTATCTCTTCTGAGACTCAACTATAAAACTTGGCCCTTTTAAAAAACATTTAAAATATATTTCATTATACTGTACATTGTTTTTTTTGGTATGGGGATGTTAAAAGCAGCTTGGCTTCCTGAGGTAGTGTTATGTCTCTATGGAAATAAGGTAAAAATGTTTAGCTTATTTTGTGAAAGTCAATAACAATCCAGAGAGTCAAGACCTCTGTCCCAATTTTTCATTTTACTTTATTGCTTCAAAAATATGGCTTATAGAAAAAAAAATAAATGTTTCAGGGAGGTTTACCTGAATGACATAGATAATTTCAAGCTCCCAGGTAAAAGCTACCCTTCAAGGTAGTAGACTATATACCAGCACATGAAACCTATGTTCACCCAGTGAGTAATGTAATGAACTGAAAAAAAAATGTAAATGTCAGTTTTAGTGCTAAATGCAGGAATTCTGAAGGAATGTTATATTAAATCTCTGCCCTCCCTTCTCTACTTCCCTTCTACGTATGATAGGTTTCCAATTCTGGAAATTCTTAACATCCTCAGTTCATGGACCCCAGCCCCATCTTCCATGAGGTTTTCCCTAATATCCGTCCATATCAGATGCTTCACAACCTGACCTCACACGTTTCCTGGGAAAGGCTGGCCTCTTCCTGCTTCATCAGATGTATGATTTCATTGTACATACGGTGAGGGGCATCCAGACCCCAGATGAAATCCACGTGGGCCCATTCAGGAATGTTTTTATGGTAGATGAGGTTGTTCATTTCGGAGAGCAGTATTTTCACGTCATCTGGATTTGAAAGCCAGTCCTGACCTCCCGTCCACATTGCTGTAGGGACTGTCACATCTCTAACTTGGTACCTCACAGGAGTTGGCTAGAAAAAAGGATTAGTTTATAACTGTAGATAACATTTGGACTTCCAAGCTCATAATTTACACTTCAAATAAACATAGTAAATAATGCCATGTGTTGTGATGAAAAGTGCACGGGCATTGGAGCCAAACAGATCTGCATTAAGTGTTTGTTCCAGCCTCTATTTGAAGGTAAAATGACTTATCCTCACTGAACCTCAGTTTCTTCATCCGTAAAATGGGGATGATATCTATAATCACTTACTAGGTTAAATGAGAAAACATGTAAATTGCCTAGCTCTTTAAGCATTAATTTTCAATTATTTTTCTTCCTATTAATAAATATTTTACACATAAATTACCTTTAAAAGGTAACTTCACAAGTGCTTCATGAGGCCAGAGTTAGAGACATTCTACAGGGAAAGGCAAGAGAATGGAAACTACTAAGGACCTGGGTCTTCACAGAGACTTTCTATGATAACAGAAAGCCCTTGAAGCAGGCCCAGCTTGACTGTGTCTTCAAAGACACGGGAAGTCGATGGCCCTGGAACTCAGGTAGTTTGAACCCAGGGGAAATGGTTGTTAAGTACGAAATGAGACTCTCAAAGGTTTGCCTGTCTATCCAACTCCCTCCAGCTTTAAATTTGTATGGTCAATGTTTGTTTACATTCACACACAACCTAACTGATAATCTTCCGCGCAGATTTTATGCTCAAAAGAGTTTAAAATCCACTTCTGAGTCTCCACATTTATTTTTAATATTATTTTTTTCATAGTTTCACTTGCAAATTACAAATTCAGTATAGGTGTTACCAGGGAGACCTCTTAAAAAGTATCTCGTCCAATAATTTTTAAAAATAAAGGAATTAAGGCCTGAAAAATCAAAGCAGCCTATCCACGGTCACATAAGTTTATAGTGTAGAGGCAAGACTAATACAGTAATCCCCACTTGCCAATTCATTCTCTTTTTACTGTACTATGAAAAAATCCTGCCTTCTTCATTGGTGTTTGTTTGTTTGTTGATCATAAAAGGATCCTTCTAATAGTAGCCACCACAGGCTATACACTCTTCTCTTCACCAAACCTACCCCATCTTGTTCCTAAGAAGCCCAGTGCCCCGCCCCCCTTCATGAAAGCAGCCTCATCAAAAAAATTCTCCTAGTCCATTATAAAACCAAGAGGCTTGTTGGCTAAGCTGCGAATAGTCCCATTTTCAAGTGGAGTCAAACTTCAACTGTTATTTTCCACTTGCATTCTCGTATTTTATTCCCATCCTTACGATAAGCTGCCATTATAATTTCCCTCTTATGCACTTAAAAGGATGTATTTGCAGTAGATGGTATTGATTTTCTTACCTGATTGCCTTTCTCCAGATTTTTGGTCTCACTCCCCCAATCAAACGCCCGGAGTTCCCCAGAATTCACTGCCTAAAAGGAAACAAAAATTGAACTTACATTGGGGTAAAGACAGTCTATTCAATAAATGGTGCTGGGAAAACTGGACTGACACATGCAAAAAAATTAAGCTGGACCCCCTCCTTACACCATATACGAGAACAAATTCAAAGTGGATTAAAGGATTAAATGTAAGATCAGAAACCATAAAACTCCTAGAAGAAAATATAGGAAGTAAATTTGCAAACATTACCCTGAGTGATATTTTTACTGAGATATTTCCTTGGGCAAGTGAAGTAAAAGGAAAAATAAAATATGGGATTATATCAAGCTAAAAAGTTTTTTCACAGCAAAGGAAACCATCAATAAAACAAAAGACATCCCACTGAATGGGAGAAGATATCTGTCAATGATACATCTGATAAGGGGTTAATATCCAAAATTCATAAAACACTCATTCAGCTCAACACCAAAAAAACAAACAATCCAATTAAAAAAATGGGGGGGGGCGGCCAAGTGGCTCAGTTGGTTAAGAGCTCGCTCAAGAGTGTGAGCTCTGAGCAACAGCGGTTCAAGTCTGTGCCTGAGCTGAGTTGCTGCTGAGCTGCCAACAGGTGGCAGGATGGCTCAGCTAAAAAAAAAAAAAAAAAAAAAAAAAAAAAAGGCTGCGCACATGAAGGGGCATTTCTCTAAGGAGGACATAGAGATGGCCAATAGATATATGAAAAGATACTCAACTTCACTAATCATTAGAGAATGCAAATAAAAACCACAATGAGATACCACCTCACTCTGGTCAGAATGGCTATCATCAATAAATCAGCAAACAAATCAGTATGGAGGTATCTCAAAAAAACTGGAAATGGAACTACCTTATGACCCAGCAATTCCACTCTTAGGTATCTATCCAGAGAAATCCAAAATGCTAATTTGAAAAAATATATGCACCCCTGTGTTCATTGCAGCACTATTTACAATAGCCAAGACTTGGAAACAACTGAAATGCCCATCAGTAGACTACTGGATTAAGAAACTGTGGTAGAGTTATACAATGGAATATTACTCGGCCATAAAGAAGAAGGAAATCTTACCATTTGCCACGATATGGATGGAACTAGAGAACATTATGCTAAATGAAGTAAGTCAGACTGAGAAAGACAAATACCATATGATCTGACTTACACGTGGAATCTAAAGAACTGATTAAATGAGCAAACTAAACATAAATAGTTTCAGAGATATAAAGGAAAAACTGATGGTTGCTAGATGGAAAGTAGGTGGGGATGAGGGAGAAGGGGAAGGGATTAGAAAGTACAAATTATTATTCACAATTTTGCCACGGGGATATGAAAGACAGTTTGAGGAACATAATCAATAATGTTGTAAAGGTTTTGTAGGGTGTCAGATAGACACTTGTCTTATTAGGGAGACCACTTCATGGATGGTGTTGATGCCTGACCACTGCGCTGTACACCTGAAGCTGGAGCTGAATAATACTGAATGTCAACTATGATTTTATATATATATATATAATATATTATATATATTTATATAGTCATGAGATATGGAGTACAGCATATGAAATAGAGTCAATAAAATTGTAACAGCTATTTAAGATGTCAGAGGGGTAATAGATTGGGGGAGGTGGATTATCACTTTGTGAGGGGTGTAAATATCTAATTATTGCATTGTTTTGTGCACCTGAAACTAATTTTTAAACAGTAAAAAAAAAAAAGAAATCACAAAAGCTATCCTTAAGTACAAGTGATGTAATTATTTTTTAAAATGTAGGCTAGTAGAATAAAAGAAAAAGTAAAATAAATAAATAAACAAACAAACAAATAAATAAATGGAAACAAAAATTTCCATGGCATTCAAGTTTATCAGTGGGTAAGGGTGGGAGGAGGAGTGGAAATGTACTTCCAAGTCTGCAATTGTGAGGGAAGCAGAAAGCAACGGCTGCGGCTGCTCTTCCATTCAGAGTTAAGTGTCAAGGCAAGAATAAGGCCCTTCCAGGAAGAAACTACGGAAATACTTCACCACCATGTTATGTAACTCCAGGAAGTACATCCCCATAACAGTGTACGCAGATGGGTGTTCTGCACAACTCTGTAGGCTACAATGGGAACGTTCCCCCTGGAGTTGTGCCATGTGGTAATTCTGGAAGAAGGTGACCAACATTCTGATTATAAAATCTCTCTCTTCTACTCTTACACTCTCTCTCTCTCTAAATTATAACACTGACCTTAAAATAACTATTTTACTAGGCTCTCAATTGTTAGAAAAACAGGACCAAGAGTCATCACTATTCTTAAAACTCTCTGCTTGAGTTAAGAGCTTCTAGTTTTTTTAACAAAATGATATTTTTGATGATGGTAATCTAAGGTTAGTTATGCTCTAGCTCTGTCCTTATATCTATCCTTACTGCCACAGCCAATCAGGGTCACTCTATGGTATCATCTATAATGAGCAATGTTATTAGGTTCAGTGCTTCTTCATATTGTGAGAAATAATAATTAGCATTCACATTGTGCTTGAATCAACCCTGAGCGCCTTACCTGAGATTTGCCCCTACTTCATGTGACTGGTAATCGGACTTTCCCTCCTGTGATGCAGGTGTAGTCTGCAGCCCAGAGGACTCCTGTGAAACCCCTTTGGGTAATTAGGTCCTGCCTTAGCATGTTAGTTACTACTTGACCATGCTGTTGGAGGAGCCAAAACGATCTTCTCCAGCCTCGTTTTGAGGTGGCTCACTGAGCCTATCCGAATTCACACTTTTAAGGTCACCTAAAGATGTTCGTGGGCCAATATTTTCCTCCCACCTTTTGAAAAGTTTCAATGTTCTAGATCACATTTCATCTTAGGATAAGTATGAAATAACCCCCGGACTGCCAAAAGGACATCCTGTGACTATTCCAGCAAAATGCAGCAAGACCGTTAAGGAAAACTACAAATTCAACATTCTTACCTGGCTCCAGTGTAGGATATTTTGCACAGATGTTCCGGCAGGAGTATGAGCGACATATACATTTGCTCGGCTCTGTAACAAAGCATGAGTGGTTTGTGGGACTTGGAAAAACTCACAAGACATGCACCTTGTCAAGACCAAATCTCCAGGGTGTCAGACTAAGAAATGGGAACATCATTAAATTATCAACAATTATCCATGAAACAATAACACATACATGTGCATAAATAAGAAAATGCCACTAAATATATTCCTGGGCACCTATCATTTTTATCTGAGAATAGCTTCTCATTAGAGATCGGATCTCTAAAAAAAAAAAAAAAAGATTAGGGTAATTAAGGATGACAGTTCTAGAATTGGCCCATATTCAAATCCTAGCTCTGCCATTTAATTTTTTGGTGGATTTAGGAGAGTTATTTAACCCACTAAGTCTCAGGATACTAATCTGTATAGTAGGGATATTGCTAATACCTGTCTCATAGGATTCTTACAGGGAATGACTTAGTGTGGCACATAATAAATGCTTATGGAATGGCAGCTGTTAATTATGTTATTTAAAAAAAAGAGGAAGAATCTTCAGGAATTAAAGGTGTATTCCTCTAGCTGCTGGGAATGCTGCTGGCAGATAGCCCTCTACTGTTGGGTCTTTTGGGGGGGGATTGTCTCAACTGTAGAGAGCTGCTTTGTCCAATGTGTCACCCATTACTGGCATCATCTGCATTAAATGGCTGGTTGTGTGGGAGTCTAAAGACTCAGCCCTCTCACTCTAACTTGGGACAACTCTGAAGGGTCATCCCATCTTCACAGATTCCAGTTGGCTCCTATTGAGACCACATCACAGCTTGACTTTTCATCTACCCAATCCTGTGCCCTTCCCTTCTCTAGGTGTTATTCCAAGGGTATGACCCCAAATCACTCTGCCTACTAATTTCCATCTCAGAGAATGCTTCCTGGGAACCCACACTGTCACATCTACCAACTAGTAGCTATCTATATCTAAGCCAAACTGAAACTCCCTCACATCCTATCAAAGGACTTAAACTACAAACCAGAAGGACCCAAGAAGAACGAAGAAGTGGGTGATGCATGGCAGTCCTCTCCTTTGACTACTAGGTTCTAACCACTTTTTTTTCCCATCTGCTGATTCACTGTATAAAGTTTCTTTCAGATCTCTTCCATCTATAATCTCTGAAGCGAATATCTAGCAGTGCCCTTAAGTTAACCTGGCCTCAGCCCATGTTAAAGCATTCCCTGCATATTAATCCGACTCAGAGAAAACTGAGTTACTAGGATTATGTTTCTCTAAGTCTTCACAGGCATTAGCTCACTCTCAAGGAGTGAGGCTAATAACTCCTACCTTTGCTTTGGAAAACTGAGAATTTACAAGGCTCCCACTTACCATGTTCATATTGTTCGTGTTAAATCCCCCCAGAAGCAAAATGATATTGCTGCAAATCTGATCAATAATTATCTGGCCACAAAGGTAAATATAAAACTGGCGGAGAAACCTGGTCTGGTACAGAAATTCTTTCCGGCCAAACAATCCCTGTAAAAATATGAAACATTACAGTAAAAAAGAAGTGACTCTAATTGAAAAGTGTACATTTTAGCATATTGAGCTGAAAGACTCTTGTACATAGCCAAGCAATTTTCTGAGGGGTCACACACCTTGATCATCATATCTGGCAGCAACAAAAATTTGGTCCCAGGGCTTTTCGCATGTTTAACAGTAGCTATGGGTGCTAAGGCAAAATACATTTTTATTTTCTGAGCCAGCTCTGGCATGGTGGAAAATGCAATAAAGCCTGCAAGAGAAGAAATATGTCAGTGTGGATACTGAATATCCTAGAACTCGTAAAATACATATTTCACTTTTGTCAAGATATTTCAGTAATTACATGTGACTGTGTCTTAACTCGCTCATGAAATTTTAAACTCCTTCAGGTGAGGGAAAAACAACAGCAGTAAAAACTCTCTTGTATTCCCTCTGACATCAAACTTATTTCATATCCAGTAGTAGGTTATCATTGAATTATTGAATTAAATTGTTGAGTTCAATAATACAGACTTTGAGAATACATATATTATATATACTATGTATAATATATAGGTATATATATATATATATATATATATAGTATATATGTATGTGTATATATACACTCTGAAGGTGCCCAAAAAATGTATACACATTTTAAGAGATGTTATCTATGCTCAAGCAGTAGTTCACTGTAATCAGAAGTGTCTGGACGCTGATGGTAACCATTTTGAGCACCTCTTGTAATTGCAGAAGTCAAATGTGACTTGAATTCATCTTTTGTTATCGGTAAATATTATTACAATTTTAAAACAGTTTTTTTCTTTCTTAAAATGTATATATATTTTTGGCACCCTGTGTATATAGTCATGAAATATATATATATATATATTTCATGGTTTTCACCCCATTTAATTCTCAAATTCTTGTGAGGTATTTCTAATAAATCTCTACAGTTAAAGAAAATGAGAATTAGAGAAATTGCCTTGTTTATTGATAATAAGCATGTTCTGTAACATAATGGATATTGAGATAGCAGGATCTCGCTGATTTTCCTCAATCCCTAATTTTTTTGGAACCAAAACTGTAACATAATCTAGTAGACAAGTTGTCTAATGAACTGGATTCCAACTCTTATTTTTGCCTTAGGCTAGGTATGGGATTCTGGTTAAGTGAGTCTGTGCCTCAGTTTCTACACCTATAAAATAAAGTCAAATTCCCCGAATTAGCACTGCAGAGACAATCTCTGTAGAGCCTTTAGGAGAAAAAAAGCTTTGTGTAAAGCAAGGGCATGGTCATTATATTTGAAATACTATGTGTCTATTTCAAAAGAGCCTGTACATTCTCTGTTTAGGATGATAGTTGCAGGTTGGAAGGAGAAAGCTGGGTAAAAAAAAAAGAAAGAACAACTGGATTCACGTGACTTCTGTCTAGGTCCCAGAAGGAGGGTCAGCATTAAGAAGGACTGATTCCTTCCCTTTCTATCTCTTCATGTGATTAGTTTTGCCAGCTACAGGCAAAGGCAAGCACAAGAGTGCATGGTATTAGCTCTTCTCTCTCGACTATACCATCAGTCGGATTGGGTTAAAAATACATTAAAATACATTACTATATTCCAGCTTAATTCTGACTATATAGAACTCCCCTCAAATGTCAAGGTCTGAGAACTCAAGATAACTTCTCCCAGCAATACTTCCCTTTATGCAAAGCAAGTTCAAGTTCTCTACATTAACAGCTCCATGACTGACTAATAGAGTAATCCTATGCTTTTTTGTTCCCTGCTCATTCTCATAATAACATTTAACCTCATCATGAGCATCTTTGTCTTCATGTCAACTTGAGCAATTTGAGTATAGAGAAAAAAAATTTTTTAAGACCTTTGGGTATTAGAGTAGGAGCAAGCATAACGCTTAAACTTTCTCTCTGAGAAGAGCAGGGTGAAACATAACATTGCAGGAATCAATTAATGGTACTAAAAAACCCAGAAAGGAAAATGTGAAAGTCAAACTCTTTTTATTCACTAGAGAGCATCCATTAAAAATGAACCAACCAGGGCCAGCCGAGTGGTGTGTTGGTTAAGAGCTGGCTTGGGACGCCAGCTCTGAGCGGCAGGGCCCCAGTTCGGATCCCACATGAGGGCCAGTGACACAGCGCCCTCTACAGCTAAGATGGTGAACAAAAGCTCAACCTGGAGCTGGGCTGCCGTGAGTCACCAGCGATGGCGTAGGCTGCAGCCCCTGCTGCAATGGGCTGCCATAAGCTACCGTGTGTGGCTGGCAGCCAGTGTGAGTGGCTGGCAGCTGGTGTGAGCTGCCAAAAGCCGCTGTGAGCGGCCGTCCAGAGGCCAGCGACCGATCTGACTCACCCGGGGAAGAGCGCAATGATAATACCAACATGGGCCAGTGAAGCAACATCCTCCGCAACTAGACTGAAGAACAAATCAACAGCAACTTGTCTGTTCCCCTTCCCCTGATTCCCCAGCATTGTTCCCCTCTCCCAATTCCCCAATTAAAAAAAATTATATTAAAAAAAAAAAAGAACCAACTGAACTTGTGCTCCTGAGTTGCCTGTTTCCCTTAGAATCCCTCACCCTGGACTTTAACTTTGGGTTTGGCTCAGGGTGAAGGTAAAAAGCTCTTCTCAGCCCCCTCTACAGAGCCTGCTCCTCATGGCATGCACCGTGCCTCTCCTGATCACCCTTCACCCTAATCTAAGCCAAGCACCATTTTCCTGTTGACTTTGGTCTGATATAGGGCCAGAATAGCCAGTCTCCACTCCCATATTCCCAAGTAGGTGATCTGTATCCTGCAGGGGACATGAGTTAAGGTTTCTCATAAATTTATCAAAAGCAAAAGGACACCAGCACATAATTGCAGACATTGGCATTAGAAAGGGGTGGGGTGAAGAGACTTGAGTAAGCTCTCCATCATTTCTGTTTATAGTTTGATGACAGTGTTTACTGTTTATGGCTTGCCTCTTATGTGTCAGACGCTGAACTCAGGGTTTCATTCATTCAATGCATTTATTGAGTGCATACTATGTGCCAGGCACTACTCTCACAGCTGAGTCATTTGCTCAATGACATTTACCTATGAGGTGATAGAGTCAGTATTTACATCCACAGTCTGTCTGACTCCACAGCCTTTGCTCTACCTATCACACCAGAGGCCTCCCTGAATTCCATTTCCGTTTCCTGTAGCCCTTAGTCACTGAAGAGGCTAAGGCCAGATGAGTGAAGTATGTAATGACTGATCCCAGGCATAGCTGTACACCACATGCTCACATTTCTTCTGACTATACAAACCTGCTTTTCTTTGAACCTACCCATAGTGGTGCCCTGTGAATAGCCGACATAATAGATCTTTTCCTGGCCGGTTTTCTGCAAAATAAAGTTTATGACTGCAGGAAGGTCAAACCTAGCCATCTCATCAAAACTACAAGGGGAAAAGACAAAGTTATATGAAAAGTCATAATCAGAAATTAACAAAAACAGCCCCCAGGGTTTACAAACAAGCCTTTGAGTTAATATCCCCAAGAGCTTGTTAATTGTGCTCCTCCCAACAATCAGAATGGACTCATTTCAAAGGGGTTTTTCTGGGGTCACAGGCTGTGAGCAAACTGCTGTTTCCTCCAGATTATCACAGAGGGATAATCATCTTCAATGAATATTTACTGAGCACATGATCCACCTCCTAGCTGAGGTGCCCCATTAATCTCTTAGCAGAACAGAACAGGGTCATGCAGGCTCATTTATATAAGTATTAAAGCTACTACAGGGGCCCTTCTATGATGAAAGGGATAAAGAGCAGGTTGAAATATCAACAGGTAATTTAAATGAAAATATTTTGTAAGACTGTGAGAGGTGTGTTAGTCAAATTGATAGTCACTGAGGTTTAATAGTTTCCTTAAATATTTAAAGTTGCTTGGTCTTATCTCCTCCTGAGGGTACTAGTCCTTGTCATAACTCACGGAAGAGGTGGTCCCAAGATATCCATCTTATAAGGAAGTGGATATATATTTCTCTCATTCCAGTCTCGGTCACCTGATACCAACCACTGGTCTGACCCCATTCACCAGACCCAACCTTCTATTTGGGGAACTTAATTTTTCCCACTACTTCCTCAAAAGAATTACTAGTCAATTAAGATAATCAGGGATATCATATTAGGATACTGATGAGCCAACCAAAGCAAATTATCCAAATACTAGAAGCCATAATTTTTTTTACCCAGCTCTTCCAAAGACATCCATGCCCACCTCCACTCGCAAGCTTTTCATATACCTGAAAGCCCAGAACTCATCTTGGTCTATGGAGAGGGTCTTGTGTTTCTGAGACCAGGTGTTTCCCCTGCTGTTCCCCAGCCACACGTCAAAACCAGCGTCTGCCAGAATGAAGCCCAGGCTGTTGTTGGGCAGGTTGGAAATCCAGTTGCTGGCATCTCCAAGCAGGCCATGCTGCAGTAAGACCACAGGCCTGGAATCTGTGAAACAGAGAATTTCAACTGTGGGAAATATTCTCCACCTTTCTTCACATCCTCTAATGTGCAAAGACTTTCAAGTTAGACAAATCTGCGTTCAATACTTGATTCAGCTGCTTGCTAGCTTGATTATCTTGGTCAGTTACTTAGCCTTCCTGTGTCTTGATTTCTGCATCAGAAAAATAGAGCTTCTGTTATAACTAAATGAAACAGTGCACAAGGAGCAGGTAGCACAAGTCTGGCAAAGAGAAAGAATCAAAATTCATATTTCCTTGTTTTTGTGTAGGTATTATTATTACTACACTTGTCTGGGCACCTGAGAGGATATTGAAAGTGCCCAAGGAGATAGCATAATATAATGATTAAGATAATTAAATATAGTAATCAAAACTATTATATATTTTAATAGAATAAGAAACTATAATATATATTTATAGTATGTCTATATTATATAATATAATATATTACTATATTATATAATATAACATATAATAAATATATAACTATATATGTATATATGTATATGTTAATGTTATATCAATAATTATGTTTGCTTATATGTATACATATTTATGTGTGCAAATGTGTGTGTATTAATGTCATAATATCAATAATTATTTAAGCTATATATAGTTATTGATATTATAACATTAATATACACACATTTATAATTATTGATATTATAACATTAATATATACACATTTACATACATAAATATGTATACATATAAATAAATATATGTTCCAATATATTAATATATTATATATAATTATATATTATTTATAATTATTAATATTATAATACATATATATATATATATATATACCATATATGTAATGGTTTAATGGTTATGGGCCCTTCATGTCAAAGGGACCCATAAATCAGCTTGAAGTATCTCCCACTGTTCAAATATGGGAAAATTTGTGCATCAATATAAATAATGACAGTAGTAAATTATATATCAATGAATAAATTAAGAATGCATGAGTCAATATTGATATCAATAATAAAACGAACAAACTAATGATTGGGGAGAAGGAAAAGCTCTTATTTACAATCTAATGCCAATTAATAAATGCAGAAAGATTGATGGCTTTATAAAGTCATCAATGGATGCTAAAATTAGAAGGTAAAAGTTTGAAGAGATACAGGATATTTACATATCCTGAAAGTGCCTCCTTACAAATATGTATTAATTACAAAGGGAAGAATACTAACTTTACAGTAGAAAAACTTGGCAGACACCATCTCAATAAAGTGATCAGAACTAATATCACCAAATGGAACTGAACCCCTAACTTGTACCACTCACAAAAATTAACTCAAAATGGATTAAAAGCTTAAATGTAAGATCTGGAAGAAAACATAGTGAAAAATCCCCTTGACATTGGTCTTGGCAATAATTTTTTGGATATGACACCAAAAGCACATGCAACAAAAGCAAATACAAACATGTGGGACTACATCAAACTAAAAATCTCCTATACAACAAATGAAACAGTCAACAGAGTGAAAAGTTTACCTGTGGAATAGGAGAAAATGTTTGCAAACCATATTTCTGATAAGGGATTAATATTTAAAATATACAAAGAACTCATACAACTCAACAGCACAAAAACAAATAATCCAATTTTAAAAAGGGCAAAGGATCTGAATAGATGGACATTTTGCCAAAGAAAACATACAAATAGCCAATTGGTACATGAACTAATCATCAGGGAAATGCAAATCAAAACCACAATGAGAAACCACCTCACACACTTGTTAGAAGGGCTTTTATCAAAAGGAAGGGATAACCAGTGTTGGTGAGGATATGGAGAAAAGGGAACCCTTGTGCGCTATGAGTGGGAAAGTAAATTGGCACATCAAAAGTTGAACTCATAGAAACAGAGATTAGAATAATGGTTGCCAGGGGCTGAAGGGTAGGAGAAATGGGGAGAGGCTGGTCCAAGGGTACAAGTCTTCAGTTATAAGATGAGGAAGTTCTGGAGATCTAATACACAGCATGGTGACTATACTGAATAATATTGTATCGTATACTTGAAATCTGCTAAGAGTATTCTCCCTTTCTCTCACACGCACACATGCACACACACACACACACACACACACATACACATACACACACATACAGTAACTATGTGAGGTGATGGATGTATTAACTTGACTGGTAATTATTGCACAAGGTATACATATATCAAATCATTATATTGTATGCTTTAAATATATATAATTTTGTCAATTATACATCAATAAAATTGGGGAAACAATTAAGCTAGTATTGCCAATTCTGAAACAAGCCATCATCATGTGCTTCATAATATAATACACTGGAAAAGACACAGCTTCATTTCTGTGGTATTCCTGCCAAAATATATAACCTGAATCTCATCATGAAGAAACATCAGACAAACCAAATTGAAGAACATTGTATAAAATAACTGTTCAAAACTCTTCAAAAATGTCAAGGTCAAAAAAGACAAAGAAAACCTGAGGAATTTTTTCAGTTTAGAAAAGAGACAAAGAGACATGACAACCAAATATAGTGTATGACTATGGATTAGATTATTGACCAGGATTTAAAAAACCTATAAAGCACTTTGGCACAATTGACAAAATTTGAATGTGGACTATGGATTACATACTAATATCAATCAGTGTTAGTTTCTTAATTTTGATAAATGTATTGTGATTATACAATATCCTTCTTCTTGGTAAAGGATATCAGGATAGTGCCCCGCCCCTCCAAATATGTCACTTTGGCATAAGAATTATTTTGTGATGAAGGCATTTGAGTTCCTGAAATCCCTTGTCTGCCTAAAAGCAGAGCCTTCCCAAAGAACTCAACTGTCATAAATCCCCTTCCTGGAAGCAACTGTAATCTTCTCTTCTTGGATACCAGAAGTTGGCACCACAAATGGACAGACATTGTCAGAAACTATCACATCTCCCACCTATTTTTCTAAGGGCCATTTGTCTCTTCAAAAAGTCATTTGCTTTTCCATAGGTGCTCTTTTTTGAACTCCCTTTTCCCTACTAAGTTAGGCATATAGACCCCCAAATCTAACCACCATTTTCAGTTACTCATCTCTGAGTGCTTCCATGTGTGTGTGTGATGCCCATGCTAATAAACCTCTGCTTGTTTTTCTTTTCTTAATCTGTCTTTTGTTAGTCTAATTTACAGAACCCCAGTTGGGGAACCTAAAATGAGTAGGGAAAAAAAGTTAGTTTTCCCTCCTCAGCATTAGGAAATACATACTGAAGTATTTAGGGTTTAATAGGCATGATGTCTCAAACTTACTGTCAAAGATTTTTGAAAAAATAATAGAGGAGAGAGAGAGAGAGTAAACCAGGGGTGGGGGTGGGGGTGGGGGTGCAAAATGTAATTCACAACTGGTGAATCAGGTTAAAGGGTATATGGTAGTTTTTCCTTGTATGATTCTTGGAAACATTCTGCAAATTTGAAATTATATTAAAATAAAATTTATAAAAAACATCAATAGGGGATAAAGAAGGATTAAGGGCTTTAGGAGTTCTAACATCAAATAAATTAAGATAAACATCATTTTTGACATTAGCAAGTAACACTGAAAGATTAATAAAATGCTGCTTTAGGAGGAAAAACATGAGAATTAAATCCGGTCACGAGTGTAATGTCCATACCACAGTACCTGGCTTAGAGGAAGTATGTAGTAAAGAGAAGCTTTATTGCTGCTGTTATTAGTGCTATAATTTTCAAAGGCAGTGATTCTCCGAGCTTCAATGTCCTCATTAACAACACAAGGGTCTAATCGCCTACCTCACGGGGGTGGGGGTGGGGGGCTTTGAGGGATAATTGAGACAATGTGCATTCAGCACTTAGCATGCTGCCTAACTGCTTATAAAATGGTAGGTCCTGTTATTCAGTGAACTGAGTACATATGCAATCTCTGTAGAGCACAGAGGCCTTTCTACAACAAACTCATCCAGCATCTGGGCAGTCTTGATGAATTCCATTTGCCTCATTTTATCCCTCTGGTGAGAAAACATGAGGGCTGCTAATGAAGGGCCAAGAGAATAGAACTGAGTTATTTTTGATTTCCCTTTATGTCTGGTCATTGACTTCATCCTCTTAGCCCTCAGGGAGGTGACCTCAATACTATGAGATCAAACCAAGGTGGATCAATGCTCGCCTTTGGAGTCCTTAGGACATTTCCCGTGGCTGTGGCCAGCGTGGCCCTTTTAGCAGTAGTTTGTCCTGTGGTTCACCTAGTGAGAGAACTGGCTTATACATGATTGGTATCATTTCAAGTATCCCCTGGAGTCATGGACTTTCATTTACGTTAGCACCAACAGGTGACTGTGTAAGGACTCCTCTTTAGAAAGCTGTCATTTTTGAGGCTGGCCAGCCTATTTTCTCTCTTGATGTAAATACTTGAAGCGAATAATGATGATCTAATGAAGTAAGATTTTTAAAAGGCTTTTGTCACAAGCTTATAGACATCTTTCAGTTGTTTTCAGTATGAATTTCATTGGCCCTCTTTTTGAAGAGATGTTGAGAAATCGTGTTTTCCTTCAGCTTGGACGGGTATTTCCTCCTTGATGGGGTCAATGTGAGCTGCAGGGACAACATCAGCCACTAGAGGGGAGTATTCTGCACCAACTGACGGAACTGCAAACTCTTGGGCAATGAATGAACAATGTAAATAAAATGTAAATAAATGAGGGGTGAGAAAACAACTGCCCATGAATAGGAGCTGCAGGGGTCTCCCCTGACCTTAGGAAATACTAGAGTTACTTGATTGCTTGACAGATCCATGCCTTGATTACCCTATAGAATTTGTGGGGCTTAATGAAGTTATCTGTGTCTCCAGCCTGCCTATTCATTTATTTATATAAAATTAATTTATTAATGCCACATATATTTATTGACACCTAAAATATCATGGGCACTCTTTTAGGCAGTGGCGGTAGCCTCGAACAAAATGAAGTCCCTGCTCTCACTGAGTTTATATTCTGGTGGTGGTGGTCCTGGTGGCGGGGCAATGGGGGTTGGGGGATGGGGAGTACATAATACATAAACAAGCAAGTATCTACATATCGGGTGGTGTTAAGTGCTATAAGAAAAATTAAGCAGGATAAGGGGCTAGATCTCAATAGGTGGCAAAGGGTTGCTATTTTGAATAGGATGGCCTGGGAAAAAGGTGAAAGAAGGGCGAGGACCACCTGTAGATATCTGATGAAATAGTGGTCCAGAGGGAGAACTACGTGCAAAGGCACTGAGGTGGGAGCATGCTCAACATATATAATATACAGCTGTGCACTGGTGTTAAAAAAAAAAGCTGGTTTGCAAAAAACTGCACAAGTGTAATTAGAACAAAACAAAACCCTGAAGCTTCTTTACACCAAACCCCAATAGCACTTCCCCAGCATTTTCTGGTCCTAGTTAACAACTTGGGCTGTGGTATCAGCACATCTTGATTTGAGAGCTGCTTTTGCAACATACTAGCAAGTGGTAGCTAGTAGCTAGTAATACTAGACTTTCTGGGCAAGTTAGTTAACCTCTGTGAGTGGCAGTTCTTAGGATTATTGTGAAAGTTAAATGAGACTAATGCAAATAAAGCACTTAGCATTCATTGTACCTGGCATACAAAAGGAAACTAATAAGAAATGATATTATCTGTACTTATGACAGATAATGTGGTTGCTGCTACAAGCATAGAGCTAGAGTATTAAAAGGAATAGAATCAAAGACAGATGAAGGATGGGCACAATTTAATGGGTAATGAAAGTGAATTTTTAAAAAGCCCGTAATAGCTGAAAATCCCATCTGCAAAAGGAAGGGATTATATAAACTATGGAAACATGTACTAAAAAATAAAAATGTATATGGAGTGCTTGATTCTTAAAAAGACCTTAGTGAAAATCTGGGCAACACCTTAAATATTTAAAGTGCTATATGGATGGGGTGGACTCCAGGTACCATATTGGAGTTTGCATTCATCATGAGCTGGGGTTGGTGCAGTCTGTTCAAGAGATCATTAGCGGGATATTCTAGAATATCTATGTAGGAGGGGTTTAGGGAATGGGTAAAGTGCTAGAAGAGGTCAAGAAATGGACTTTTCTTGAAGATCTTTTTTGAAAATAAACACTATGTTTATTTGAGATAATTGGGGATATGGGGTGGTAATGGGGATTATGGGAGGCAGGGAACTAAAGTCATCTTTTCGCCTGAACAATTGGCCCCAGTCTATATTAAGAATCCAGACTTCCCTTGACACATTGAAACCACAAGGAAGTCATTACTGTAGGGAAGACTGCCACGTGGAGGTGACATAGGGTAAACCATACCTGTCTTTTTAAGTTGCGCTAGGCCTTGAGGAATTCTGTTAACAGAGAGGATATACCCGTCTTCTGTTGTGACTTCATACTCCTCACAGGGATAGCCTTTATGTTGAATGATTTCACTCTATGGAAAAAGCACAATTTCTTTTGAATTTAGTTTGATCTGGCTATAGCCTCAATGATCCAAAAGTTAAAAAGTAGGTGCCTTGATGCTGGAAGACAGAGACAAGAAATTCCTTGCTTTTGTCTAGCTAATCATGTTATCTTAGACAAATTAGCCAGTTCTCTGCAGTTCTCACTTTCTTTATCTTTTATGTAGAGACTGGACTAAAATGACGGTCCTCTAAGTGTGGATCCTAGACCAAAATCATCAGTATCATGTGGGCACTTATTAGAAATACAAATTACCAGTTTCCACCCAAACCTACTGAGGATGAGGCCTACTAATTTGTGTTTTAACAAGCTCCTTAGGCAATTCTGATGCACTCTAGTATTTGGGACCCACAACCCTGACCCCAAACCTGGGTGTGCATCAGAATCCTCTGGGGCATTTAACATACAGTTTCCTGGGTTCACCCTGAGTTAGGGGTCGGGTGATTCTAATACAGCCAATGGGGCACTTGTCTTATGAGAACCCCTGGACCGTACATTCCTTAAATTTCTTTTCATCTTCAAAACCATAGACTCAAGAGCAGTAGTTCTTCACATTTTTAGGTCAAGCATCCCTCTGCGAATTTGAGGGGTTTCAGATTTTCTGCTGCCTATATGTGGACCCCTGGTTAAGGATCCTTATTCTATATGGGTGTTACATGTAGAAAGTCTATAGAATACGAAGCTTCAGAGATCTCCTAAATATTCTTATTGTTCTTGCCCATTGTCATCATGTAGGGAAGGAGGGAATTGCTTCTATCAGTTGCTTTAAAAGGAACAAAGGAGGAGAAAGCCAGGTGCCAAATGCTCAGTGTATAGGGCAAAAGGGCATAGTAGTTAAGAGAAAGCCATAGGGTCTCACTGCTTGAGTTTTAACCCTGCCTCTAACACTGATACACAAACTAGCTGTATGATTTTGGAAAATATACTTAACCTATCCTTATTCCTCAGTTTATTCATTTGTAACTTAGGTATACCAATGGTTCATACTCCATGGATTTATTGCAAAGAATGTAAAAAGATAATGTACATATAACACTAACTGGATTACCTGGCATATAATAGGTACTGAAGGAGCATTAGCTACTATATAATTAAAAACTACCCCACCTTTTCTAGTAACTCCTCTTCATCTTTCAGACTTCAGGTTAAGAAACCTTTCTTCAGAAAAACTTTCCTAAATTTCCTAGATTAGGTCCTCCTATTTCATGTTTTCTCCTTTGATTTCACTGTTCTTGTAATTAGTAATTGATTGTCTATCTTTCCTGCTGGATTGTAAACTTCATGAAGTCAGAACTTTGATATTCTTAGATCTCTCTGTAATCTCAGTACATAGCACAGCATCATGGGCCTAATAGGTGCTCAATTAATACTTACTAGAAAAATACATAAATGAAGCCAACTGTATACCAACATATAGGGTAGATTATATCCATATAAATCAGCATGCAGAATCAAATTCATTCAGACTCTGAACCATTTTTATTCTATTTCATTTCATTTATACCAGCAACCACATGAATTTTCTATTTTACATTGCATTTCCATGCATAGCTGGTCAGTGCTAGAATCCGATTCAATGGATTTTAGCTTTAGTGCTCCAGAAGTGTCAAGAGCGCGTAGGTGCTGGGCACATCCAGTGAGTGAGGTCCAGAGAGATTGGCTCTGCCTACAGCTAAAGAGATTCCCTCTACCCAGTAACCCAGAGGAATTTGTGTGGGACCTTCTCAGGACCAGGGGATGTTTCCTGAGGATCTACGCCAATGTGCTAATAATCCGGATACACCATCAAAAGGTAGTCACTCTTTCGAATGATCAAATGAAGCCTGAGAGTTGGCATTATGTAGATTGAAAATATTCCTATGGCCTGTCAGGGTTTTAGAGTCCATTTCAAAGAGGCTACTATAAAAAAAGGTGTTAAATCTGTATGAAGGCATGCTAAATCTATGACAAATCTATGGATCACGAACCCTATACATAGTCTTCTATGTATAGAGATAGCTTCTCACCTGGGAGGATGTATTGCATAGTGGTTATAATTATGTGTTCGGACAGGTCTGCTTATAAATTGTAGCTCTACCACCTACCAGTGACGTGGCCTAATTTAAGTTGTTTAGCCTCTTTAATCCCAGTTCCTGCATTTGAAATTTGGGGATGATCATACCTATTGTGGAGGGTAGTGAAAATTAAATGAAATTAATATCTCTGCCGATTTCGTCACAATTCCACTACTGGATAAATATTACTAAATGGTGGACATTAAAACTCAACTAAGAATTTTAAAGTAAGCAAAAAAAAAATCCTCTGGGATACCTAAAAAGATAGCACGTCATTCATGAATTTTACTCACAGGAGGCTCTCTCTAGCATTCATTAGGGTCCTTTTACTGCTAGTCAACAGAGCAACCAGTCCAAAATAGGATAACAAGAATAGATTAGAATGATGCAGGATGCTACTAGAAGTGAGTACCCTAATAATAAATAAGGACTAACACCTTTGTAATATGGGAGAAAAATAGAAAAAGAATCAAAGCACAGACAAAATGGAAATAATCAATGGTCTGGGCTTGGCCCAAGATGCTTCAATGATTTCTCTGCTCATAGAATAAATCAAAGAATTCAAGAAAAAGTTAAGTTGTGTTTGAATCCCAAAGAGGTTAAGTGATTAGCCCGACTGAATTTGTTGGAGGAGAACCCAATTTACTCACGCCCAGTTTAGCACTTTCCAGTTGCAATATGCTAATTTATGACTATACTCTACCTGCAAAAATTACCACCATATATAAATATAATGCAGATAATACACAGATGCAAACATTAACATGTAAGGCACTTCATCTCCCCCAAAACATGATGGAAAAATCCCAACTTACAATATTCATGAATGCTTCTGGGTCCACATCTTTCGTTGGCATATGTCCTGAATTCACATTTCTTTGGAACAAATACGCCACCAGAATCAGAAGCCACATCTCAGTTCTGTGTGAAATAATCCACTCTCTTGACAAGATTTTTGACATGGTCCAAAATCTGCATTTATGCTTTCCTGGCAATATAACAAATTATGCTAAAGTCAGAAGGATCTGTGGGTTTAAAAACTCACATATTTTCCAGCTGTAATTCCTTCCCCAAATTCTGGAGCAAATTAAATAAGCTTGGTTGACAGCGATGAAAGAACACAAAGTGGAATGGAAACATTGTTTAGGATGTCCTAACACCATCTGGTTCCTCCCACTCCCTCACACAACTTGCAGTCACCAATCCTTTAGCTTGTAAATATGTAAAACTTTCTTTGATGCATCCTGTAGTTATGTGCATATGATGCAGCCCATTTAACCCCTGTTCTTCATTATCAGGTCATAAGGACCACAGGGGCATCTTTCTCTTTTTCTCTTAGTTTTTATCTTTCTTTGATAGGTAGTAAGATATGGAGTTTAGAGAAAATACGTGTTTCTGTGGTCACATTCTAAGGCTCCAGTGATCTGTCCTTTGGTTGAAGATCAAGGTAGTGATAAGTATTTTTATTGAAAATGTCAAAAAGTTTTAGGATATTTTCCATTTTTAGTGGCGGTTGAGAACATTGATTGGAAGAGAATGAATCTTCCATGTGTAGGCCATTTCCATCTAGCTCAACTAAATGGATATGTATGAAATGTTTTATTTTGGGTTGTAATCACTAGTTAATGTCTGAGAGATCAATTTGATGGATACCTGGTAGTTAAACTGTCTTCAATAACGAAAATGAGTTGCAGCTTAGTTATTTCCATGCACTAAATGTCCCAGTTCAATCAACTGTGTGGCAAGGTGAGCGATTCTTTAGCCAGTAATACATAGGCAGGCCAGGAGGTTAGAATGATTGTCATTTAAAGTAAAGAATGTGTTAGAACTTAAGAAAAAAATATCATTTAAAGTAAAATATTTCTTTATTTTTACATCAACCCTTCAGAGCTGAGCTAACAGCAGCCACATTAATTTATAGACTTTTGGAATGTGGTTGGTGGAGGAGCCGAAGCTGGAACAGGAATGACGAGTCTGTGAGAAAGAACCTGAACCTGCCCGTGGTCTCAGCCTCACCCACTCCAGGCAGGCTACACCTATAATGAGGTAAGCCTGCAGCTCTGATCTGGACTAGTTTTAACATTCCCACCATTGTTGATCTGATGCGTGCTGAGGAGGAGTGATTTGACCTACTTTAAAAGAGCAGACAGAGCTTTTGTCCAACACTGCAGAGCCCCATATCCTCAGTACCCACTGAATACACTCTGAGGTTATGCAAAATGAAATTTTAGAAAGCAACTTTGGCACCTACTGTTGACACTTTAGGAGTTTAAGATGTCATGCAGCTCGATGGAAAGAAAATCTCATTCCGCTCTTTCATTTTTAGAAGCGTGAAGGCATGTTAAATGACTTGCCCAATGTTACCTAGGTTGATAGTGGCAAGGCCAGAACTAAAATTCAGGTAATTTAATTAATTGTGTAGCATTATTACCACATGGAAAAAAATGTAACACTTCAATCTCCTCTTCCCCATTCAAGGACAAAAACTTCATATGCTAGTAAAAGCAATTACGTCAATCTCTGTGAATTGTCCCTTTAAAAGTTCTCTTCTGGATTTGAAATTCAAAATAATTCTTAATAAGTTCATTATAATCTTGAGAGATATAACCTACTCACATTTTTTCAATATTTAGGTAAGATCAACTCCCACATTGGATTAATATGCTTGTGAATACTGTACAGATTTATTAATGAAAGAATTGATGCCAATAAACTGATTAGTTCAGCAACAATCCTACATTTTTGGTCATAGGACTACTCCTCCCTGGGTACAAGCATAATGCAGGGAAAATGGAATACAATTTAGTTTCAAATTCTTAGGTAACTGTATGAGCTCACAACTGTCATTATGGAAGCAGGAAAGTGGTATCCGAAATCCAACTCAAAGAGCTGCATTTTGAACAAATGTTAAATAAGTACAATTTTCCCCATTGCAAAATTTTAACAATGACCTTATCACCTTAGCAACCAATAACCCATGGAAAACATCAGCAGTACCATAAAGAGAGATGGGGGGCCCAAATGTGCCAATGACCTCCAACTTGGAATGGTTTATCTGAGATTTTTTTAAAAGAGGTTTCTGGGCCGGCCAAGTGGCGCAATGGTTAAGAACGGGCTTGGGATGCCAGAGGGCCCCGGTTAGGATCCCACATATGAGGGCCAGTGACACTGCCCTCTACAGCTAAGATGCTGAACAACAGCTCAACCTGGAGCTGGGCTGCCATGAGTCGCTGGCCACGGCGAAAGCTGCAGCCCCTGTGGCAGTGGGTTGCCATGGGCTACTGTATATAGAGCAGCCAGCGTGAGCGGCCAGCAGCCGCAGTGAGCGGCCGTCCAGAAGCCGGCGACTGATCTGCCTCGCCAGGGAAGAGCGCAATGATGGTGCCAACTTGGGCCAGTGAAGCAACGTCCTCCACAACTAGACTGAAGAACAAAACGACAGCAACGTGTCTGTTCCCCTTCCCCCAATTCCCCAGCGCTGTTCCCATCCCCCCAATTCCCCAATAAAAATCTTTAAAAAAAAAAAAAGAGGTATCTATCAAGGAAATGTGTGATCTTTTAAAACAGGATTGTTATCATCTCAATACATAAAAAGAAGGATCTGAAATACCCCATTATCTTGAAACTAAGAAAATGGGTCTTCCTTACTGCGCACTATCTATAAATAGATTAAATATCAAAATTACATAAAAGCAACAGGTCAAATAGGAGGGTGATTGAGGAAAAACGTTCTAAGATAAAGAGAACAGAGAATCAACATGCAACCTTACACATAAATGTATTGTGTGTAAAAACAATAAAAACTGAAACAGTTACAACAAACAGGACAAAACAAACAAACAAAACTAGTTAACACAGAATTACAAAAAGACAAAACAAAAACCCTGAAACTGGGAGAGAATTCCTCTTTTCTGTTTGAGTTGCCAGTAAAGGGCTTTCAAGTCAGTGTTCCTTTTCCCCAATGTTGAACTGAATTTTATTAAAACAAGTTTTTCAGGTTTTATAAACTGAAGCCCTGAGCCCTGCCATAAAACCTGTCTGAAAGTTGTCAATGGTCTTTTGTCAGAATCAGTCTATATGAAAGGATCAAATCTTCCGTAGTGATCAAACTCAAGCCCTACTCTTCTCAACAGGAATTATCTCACAGGGGGCTCCAGGCCTTCACACAAATGGTCATGTGGTTTACCTGCTCTCCCAGTTTCTCAGACAGGCCTGAAAATACAGAATTTTCATTTTGACACCAATCAATCTCTCTTAGCTCCGTTAATCAACATGCGATGGTTCTTTTTTTAAAGAAAATGTAAATTGTTTTATTTTCCTTGTAGGATAAAGTTACAAAAACCTAAAATAAGTTGTAGTTAAATTTAAACATTTAGAAGTTTTGAGAAAATATTTTAAATGGTATTAAAAAATGTACATTATTACAAAACAATGTACAAGTTAACAGAATGACTTATGTTTATATTTAGGTACAGGAAAACTACAGGATTTTAAAATAACAATTGTGCAATTATTGAGGTTGCTGGGATTATAAAAGGTATACATTTTTATAGGTGAATTAATTTCTAAAGACATAAATATTCATACCCTAAATTCACCACTTCAGGAAATTCTAGAAAATTCAAGAATACACAGTACTCTTCCATTAACATCAGATATTTCTAGAAATTTATTCATTTCTTCTAGATTATCTAGTTTGTTAAAATATAATGGTTCATAGTAGTTCCTTATAATCCTTTGTATTTCTGTGGTATCAGTTGTAATATCTCCTCTTGCATTTATGATTTTGTTTATTTGAGCCATCTCTCCTTTTTTCTTAGTCTAGCTAAAGGTTTCTCAATTTTGTTTATCTTCAGAAAATGAGCTCTTACTTTCATTGATCTTTTCTACTAAATTCACCATAAAGAAGTGTTAAAATGTTATGAAGTTAAGTCTCTTGACATTTTCATTTTTGGTTTCTGGGTTTTTTGAGTTTTTCTGGACAGTTTTCTTTAACCCAAGTTTATAAAAACATATTCTATATTTTCACAAATTTTTGTATTTAGAACTCTGGACCATTTAAAATTTACTTTTCAGTATTGAGTCTGGATTACTTTTTTCTAAGTAATGATTTCATTTTGCTAACATCACTTATATAGGCTTTCCTGATTCCACTGCTATGGATGTCACCTTTACTCTAATCTTATATTACAAAATCCTGAAGCCCCAGAGGGTTTACGTGATTTTTCTCAAGCACACTTCTCAGCTGGGAGTGATTTTGTATCCCAGAGGACTTTTGGCAATGTCTGGAGACATTTTTTATTGTCACCACTTGGGGGAATGCTACTGGCATCTAGTGGCAGAGGTGAGAGCTGCTGCTAAACATCCTATGTACAATGAATAGTACAGATTCACCAAAAAAATAATTTACTGACCCAAAGTGTCAGTAATGCTAAGGTTGAGAAATCTTGGCCTCAGTCATCACAGAATATGAATGTAGGCCTGAAAAACAAATCCTACCTAGAAAAGGTATATGCACAATTTTTTTAAAAATCAGTGTTTAAAAGTATTGTTTTTTTGTATCTGTTGATAAAGCCCTTGTCTATGAGCTTGTCATCATGATTTAGTAGCCGTCTGTTTTTCAGGTGAGAAAAAATGTGACCCTTCCTCATTGTCATTTCTATGAGATGCTCCCTATTCTCCACATATGAAATATTTTAATTTCACCAACTGTAGAAATGCACTGTTTGATCCTCTGGACATGTATTAATTGTGTGTTTTTCTTCAAAATACTGATTTTAATAAGACCAGGTAGGGACCAAGTTTTCAAACTTGGCTTCACCTCTCATATCCAAGAAAATCCTGACTGGGAATCATCTGCTTAATCTGATTTCAGCTCCACCCCAGACCCACTGAAGCAGAATCTCCGGGCCTGGGGCCCAGGAATTTATACTTTTACCAGGTGAACCAAATGGTTCTGAGGAAGGGTTGGGTTTGGGGGCCATGGCTTTGTGGGACTTACAGAGGTCCTGTCTGCAGGGAGAGAAGGTCTATTTCCTGTAAAGCCAATTGTTTCAGCTTGGCTCTTCTCCAGAGAGGAATTTGGTCACAGACAGTGAAATAAGCCTGTGGCTTTTAGGGTTAAAGT